ACTTAGGTTTTCACGGTATATTACACTATATTCAACTGTACACATCAAACATACTGCGTCTTTTTTTCTGTTCTTTGATCTTATTTTTCTTTCTTTTCTCACTTTTCTTCCTCCCTTTATATTCCTCGTCGTTGTATATATATGTGTATTATGTTATTTTGCTTCAAAGAAGGAAAAAATTTATATTTTCAGCGAAATGCACGTATTCTATGCTCGAAAGAAGCAGTGCCCACTGCAAGTTTATTCTACCAACTTCCCCGATTAAAAAGTTAACAAATTTGAAAATACCCCTCTCCAGTTTTCCGGGCAGTTTGAAGCAGGGCTGATCACCTGCATGATAAACTGCCTGCAAGCTGCAGGCAGGTTGCAGTTTCAGGTGAATAAAAAAAATTTCCACTAACGGCCGGCAGATAAAGAAGAATGTTTTCCTGCCTGCACTCCCTGCAGGCGAGAAGATTTTACCTGCATTCCCTGCAGGGAAAGACGTTTTTGTGTGGAGAATGAAAATAAAGAGGAGACGAAGATAAATACTGATCACACTGAAAGTCAGAATGATCTCTTAACGAAAAGAAACTAACTAACAGTTTTTTTTGTATATCCACTAGACACTTTAAGATGAAGGAGAGAAACGTTTTATCCGTAATCGCTTATATCATTTGATATGTCATTTTCCTCTAATATAATGGCCTAGACCGCATCTGTGTAGAATTCTTATTTCTCTTTCTTAAATGAATAAAGTTTAAACTAAACTAAACGAAAAATATAGAATAAAGAAAAAGAATGAATTTCGTTCTTATTAGAGTTTTCTCTTTTAGCGTATCCTGATCTTTTTCTTGATATCGCATACAAATCACCTTTTCTTTTCTATATGTACCCTCATGTCTGACATACACATATCTACATGCGACATCACGAAAAACATAAAGATACGCTAAAAGAGAAAACTCTATTAGAACTTTAGCGTGCAGCGTATCTTTATCTTTTCTGTATGTCGGACATAAGGATACATACAGAAAGGAAAGGACAATCTGCATGTCATCATATAGATATCTGCATGCGACATACAGAAAAGATAAAGATACGCTGCACGCTAAAGTTCTATTGTATGTAGTCTAATGTTTCTTTTAGTATGCGCACTAGGTATAGTATATAGAAGATGAAAGACTATAACGATAACAGAAAGACAAAAATATAGAACAAGGATACTGAAATCGTAACTGGTGATACAGTCTATAATTATCAGTGTGTAATACAGACTGATAGTGGTCACTAGGAAAAAAAATTGTTATACTTCACCTTAGGGTCCACCTGCAGGGCAGGGCAGTGCAGAAGTTTCACCCTCAACCTCTGCTAGTGCAGAACAAAAGATTTTTTTGGTAACCTGCAAACTGCAACGCGGATAAATTTTATTTTGCCCGTGCGCGGTATCGCCGCGCAGGGGTGAAAAATTATACAGGTGATCAGCTCTGGTTTGAAGTACACAAGTTGTGCTCTATGCCGAGCTATTTTGTAGAAAAAGGTACATTGTATTTCTTGAGTTATACGTCTATTAATATCACAGCTGAGCATGAGAAAAATCATAGTTTCTTTTATATTCAGCAGTTAAATAAACTCCTTTTGACCACCATGACTTTCCGGTTTTCTCTTCGGGTCATGATAGCTAGCGATAATATTTGTTGAACTATTTTGTAGAAAAAGGCACCCAACTATATTTTAGAAAAAGATACGTTATACTTTCCGAGATAAACGGCTGTCAATATCATAGCTAAGCATAAAGATTGCGATTGCTATTTTCGTAAAAAAAGCGTGTGAAAAATCAGCTATGCATAATCAAAGTGAAAAGATTAATCTGTCCCTTTGGTAACATAAAACAAAGTTCACAATAAAGAAAAACAATGAAAAAGTATTTGTATTTGGGCAAAATATGATCAAAACAAGCCAGTACCCATCGGTATACCGGCCGATACTGGTACGAAGTTTGTATACCGATGACCGGTACCGATATCACATTTTTGATACCGGTTACACTCCTGGTCTAACTTCTGCTCAGTTCATGAACCGTGAACAGCACAGCAAGCAGCATTGATTCGATTACTCTTCCGCTCATTCTTAGGAATTTTTCTGAATAAATGAATAAATTCGAACCGTATACTGTTATTCTTCATATACAAGCTTATCCACTCTTTTTGTGTTTTTGAATCAAAATCTTCTAAACATGAAGTTTAAAGTTTAATGTTAGGACTTTGCTGGAAAACATGAGTTTTCTGACAACGCCGCATCGCCTTCTTCGAATGGTTTTCATTCCCTTAGGATATGGTCTGCACACTCTTAAATAACTACATTCAGAGTCCATGTTCAATTATTGCAATACTGTATTCATACTTTATGTAACATTGATTATTGTTGTGTTCAACTATACTATTTATTTATCCTGTTCTGATGAGCATAATTAGCACACACAGAAGCGCATAATGAACATTTCGTCGTTTACGATTCATGAAAATAACTGTTTTTTTAATTCAAAGAATCAAATTTATTACTATTTATACAGGATCTCAAACTTCCGATGATACTTCCATATAAGTTTTGAACCATTTCTTCAAGTTTTATGATAAACGAAGATATTTTTATATTTTGCTCCAGAAGAGCCAAACTAACACGCTGTTTCAAATAACTGTCTCGGAGCTTAGGAATCCAGTATGAAAGGTTACATCTAGGCATATAACATGTCGCTCATAGCCAGATATGTTTCTGTACAGTTTAATTATAATACGTATTCTCTAACAAATTAAGAGATAAAATAAGAAGAAAAAAGAAGCAAATCGTTCGTTCAGTTTTACAAATATGATGAATACATATTATCATAATAAAAACAGAAATGTTATTAGTAATCGATACACTTTCCATTTCTAACCCCCATACACGGTGGGCGATTCATTAGAAACCCTTCCTCATGTCTTACTACTTGCCCCATCCCATCGTAAAATAATGCATTATACACTATTGATGTTGGTCTACCAGTTGTATTATCCTGATATTGTAATTGTACATTGAATTTTATTTGACTATTAAGGGTTATTGATAAAAATGTAGCCATCGCTGTTTCTAATCCATATCAATCCATTAATATATGTGTTGCATTAAAATTACGGTTCACTGCATTATTTTGTGGAAACATATTATAAGATTGAGGTGGTCCACTAAATTGACTTCCAACAATGTGACCTCATTCATCCGTAGTTAGACCATTTAAAAATGTTCTCATATATGGTGTACTCGTATCATCACTTCTCGGAAAATCCGTTCGTGTAGCTGTTATATGACAAGGGAATATTAATGCTGTAACGGATACAACTCGAAATGCACCGTTTGGTATTCGTCGACGTATACTTTCTTGTATGGGATTATTTATATTTTGTGGTGTTTCTATAAGAAAATTGGTTAGCATTCTGTTGATACTGTCGACGAAGCGCATCGTACAATCGCTTTATAACGACATCAATAACATATGCTTGACCCCGGTACATGTAACTTGTTATTGTATAGTCACATTGTTGCTGATACTTCGTTATATTCTGTTATTGAAAGTATTTTATAATTATTTGGAACATCACCATTGGGTATTTCAACGTTACTTGTGCTTTATTTATTGACCCGTAAATTGGTTTTATTATTTAAGTGTTGTTATCGTTGGCTTTAATGAATATGATCTCATCGATAATGAGTGTTTGCGTTGAAAATAAAAGTGATCGTGCTGCACATGCCGGAATATACAATCGTGATGGGCGTGGTGGCATATTTGGGAATCCTGGTTTTGGTAAACGCATCGCTACATGTGGTAAAGAATGCTGCGATGCAGGAAATAAAGATTGTTATGAAGGATCATTGGAGACTTCGTTTTTTTGGGTTGATTGCGATACAGACAACAGACCAACGAAAGGTTATGGTCAACTGATTGTTTGTTGTTCAAATTGTTTGATTACATTCTGTGGGCGTGATACTATAACTTGTACAACAGAAGCCAAACCTGATGTTCTTATTGCTACTTATGCATGTAGACTGTAAAAATATATTGCTTATTAAACGTTACCAAAATTGAACACAATCTCTAGTTTCTACCAGATTCATCGATACTACTGACATATTGAATACATTAATAAATTTACTTTTTAGTTGAAAGATTTGCTTAAAGCGTTACTTCCAGAAGCAGTAGATTCCTAGAAGCTGGATCTTAGAGGCTTTCCAGGATGCTGAATCTAATGGTATTATCATGTTTTTCGGCCATCGTACTCCATAATGGAATTCCGGAAAGTCGATTTTTGAGCGCTAGGGTTGTACGAGGTACTTTTTTCTTAGAATAGCTTAGACATTGGAGTCAAATAACCATACAGGTCTTGTAGAGCGTACTTTCTTCTATCTAAAAATTATTGTGGAAAAATTTTGTGTTGTGTCGGGCGTCTTCTGGAAACGACTGTTTACGGGAAAGCCAAGGTTTCTAGAAATTGTTTCACAGAGACCAAGCGTTTTACAAGAAAATCTTGGCTTTTCTGCATTCGTATCAAAAAAGCTTGGCTTACAAACATATAAGGTCACCAATACATGCTCTCACATTTTTTAGAGTTTCCCAGAGGTTTTCTAAAAAAAACCTTTACAGATTTTGTATTCTAAAGACTATTTTCTGCAATATTTATTGAAGTATTTTAGAGGACTAATATCAGTTAAATACTATTAAATATTTCAAGATCTGTAAAACTAGTTAATTTTGATTGTACAATATCACAATCCATTATTTTATATTTTGCTATATCGAACATTACTGTACAAACGTGCACAATAGCTGCTTGCACCAACTTTACAATCACAGGTAGGTTGTTGGATTAATAGCTGATGGCTGTTGATGGTATATTGACATAAAGCATATTCACTAGACATTAAAGGACGTACGAGTGCATGCATTTATGATACAAATATTATTCTATTTTTCAATAAATATACATTCAATATAACCTTCATTGTGTACAGAAAATGCTTTTTGTCTTATTATTGGATTTTAGGAATCTAAATTACTCGTTTTTATATATCACTCAACATAACCGTAGGAAACATCTGGATGTACTTTTAAATCGCTCATTTTTGAAATAAAGACTGAGTAATGAAAAGGACTCTTCAAAATATGTGTTCTAGAGATGAGCCATAATGAAACTTAACAGAACGAATGCGTTTAATATGAAGTATACAAAGCGACAGAACTTCTGTACCACTCTCGCAAAAGTTATGAAAACAGGCCCAGCCTGTTTTCATAACTTTTGCGAGTGGCATTTTTATGATCGGTCGCCATATGGGCGTCCAAAGACACTCAAAATGATTCTTTTTAGTATTTCTCGAAAATCATTCACTAATTTTTCAGTCACATCTTTCTGTTTCATATACAAATGATATGTTCCAAGATTTAAGATCACTTAAGTCTATTGAAGAATTGTCAGAACGGGGAACAGAAACAGTGTTCACCAATACTTGGACGTCTGCAGGAGTGAATGAATCTGTAATACTATCAGTGTCTGA